TTGTTGAATTGCTATATAATTCAACATTATATGGTCTTGAAGATTAAAATTTTATTGTCATGTGGAAACATCCATCCACTCATTTGCATTTCACATTTGGATAGGTCACAGAACAAACAAAACTTATATTCCCAGTTTTCCCCACACCTGTTAATCATTTGATCTGGGTGAACCCACGCATACAGTGAGAACATGAAACTTTACTCAGTAAGTCAGGCTGGGATTTGATCCAGCAACTTTCTTGCTGAGGCAACAGCTCTACCAATTATTGTGCACATTTTTTTCTCAAATCAATGGCTAATGTATTTCTATAAAACAATTTGTAAGCCAAATTTGTTAACAACTGCTAACCATCAAGTGTTGTTGACCTATGGAAACAAAGTGGATGAAAACAGGTCAACAATGATAATATTATTGACAGAAATGTTTGTGATCAAGAGGTCTAGCATATATTTGTATGCTTAATTTGCTTTATAAAAGACAAGAAGAAAATGTTTCCTGAATTGATGTGATTTGTGTGCACTTGAGAAAGTTTCTGTTGCTCTTCTTTTACTGTGGTCATGTCTTGTTCTATGATATGGTTTGTGTTTTTGCTGTGACATCGGATTGCAAATAATACATACTGTATCATAAAGATCATAGACTTTCAGTTGAATGAATAGCGCACCTGTGTTTCAACAGATTGTGTGCACACAGCCTGCAGGAAAGATCAACCCCCACCCCACCACTAACATCCCCCATATTGTCCACACAAACTCACCATGATCTAGATCAGGGTTTTTCAACTCAATCGCGTTGATTGTGAAACACAATGCAGGATGTAACATAGGTATTGTTTTTTTTTTTTACCTTTTAAGTTTGATTGTTTTGTTGCATTAATACATAAATTTTTAAATTACAAATGATTTGAAATCAATTTTTTACATGAAATTTAGTAAAATAAAACAATCTTCATTGACGTGCCAGATGTGGCTGCCAGATGAATAGACCTGATTGTGACAATGATACTTTATTTATAAGGTGGCACCCCTGCTAGTTGCACAATCAAACAGAACATGTTGAGCAACAAAAAAATGAAATATTGCATATTACCTGTAACTGTGCCTCAAACATTAATAACTGATAAACAGAATCGAGTTTTACTAAAATTATTCTAGAATAATATTACTTTACAGTTGTTGAATAAGAAATGAGAAGCAGTTGTTGAACATGCTATGTCCTTTGACAAGACTTCATTTCCCAGCATTCCTGCGTGACATTTACCCAGCATGCAGCAGCGYTAACGTGCCGAAGCAAGATGGCGGCTAAAACAAGCAAAGACGGTGCTCCTCCTTTTGATTGTCCATCATGGTGAGAAAATGCACACGTCGAGGTCGTAACAGAGTAATTGTAGCGTTTGCTAAATGCAAACGAGCAAAGCGATTTCATTCCGCTTCGTTTTCTTACKTTTAACGCAGTAGTGGCTTGCTATTTCTGTAGCTAACGTTAGCATCAAGTCGAGCTAGATGGCTAACACATCAATTCTGTTTGTAATAATTTCCTAAATGTCATTTTGTGTTCGATTTTAGTTCATAGATGCGTTCTTTGCTCACTTTTTTTGAAGTCCACTTATATATTTCTCTGACAGAAAGCGAAGGGCACGTCAAAATATCATTTAAAGCATTCACAATATACAGTAAAGCTATTGATTCATTTACTGCAAATGATTACTATGAATTTATAAAATGTTTAAGTGTTTTTAATCATTGGCTTTCAGGGCAGGAAAACCGCCCACAGGACTTCATTTGGATGTGATGAAAGGAGACAAACTTGTAGAGGTAACTGGATGTTTGTTAGCATTCATACAGAGAGATGATCCATGTTTATTAGCTATGTTTTTCATGTCTCSTTCCACAATTGTTTTACTATTTTAACACTTCATAGATCAAAACTTTTTTGCCCCTTCAGGACGTTCTGGCTATGACTTTTGGTACTTCAGCAATTTATTCTATTTGGATATTTAGCTCTTTTGGCCATTTTTGTTCCAATTAAAAATGAATGGAACCGTCTTCAACGTCTTTAAAATCCTTCAAAATAGTTAAATATTTCATGCACTTTGCACCTTTTGTTCTGGTTTTACTTTAAAAACAACAACTTTGTGCTAATTTTAGCTTCCTTCAGTTTCTGTTTTGTCAATTAGGGCTGCCTCGATTAATCGAGACTAATCGATTATTAAAATAATCGATGACTAATTTAATAATCGATTAG